TGCAAGCAAGAACTGGTGGGACCACAAAACAGAAAGAGTAATAGAAAATGAAGAAGCAAAAGTGCTCTGGGTCTTTAGAATTCAAATAGACAAGCACCTGTCACACAACATCCCAGACTTAACAATTGTTGATAAGAAAGACAAAAAGTCTGGAGACATTGCAATACGTGGAAACTGCAGAATAGAAAAGAAAAAACTGGAGAAAATCACAAAATGCAAAGACCTGCAAATAAAAATAAAATTATTGTGGCACAAGAAAGCAGAGATAGTACCAATAGTAATAGGCGCCTTGGTGCAATCCCAAAACAACTGGGGTACCACTTGAAGACCATCAACATTGACAAAATCACCATCAGTCAGTTGCAAAAGGCAGCTTTACTTGGAACAGCTTACATCCTGCAACAATATCTTTAACACCATCAAACAACATCTGCCTATCCCAGGTCTTTGGGAAGGACTCAACAGGTGGATAAAAATGCCAAACCCAGTCTGAACATCTGGCTGACTGATGAGATCACATTAACAACAGCAGCAGCAGCAGCAGCAGCAGCAGCAGCAACAATATGCTGCCTGACTCCCAGTGACTCTGGACAGTTGTCTTGGGCTAGGCCTTCAGCCAAAATCTCAGAGTTCATAGAAAATGTTGTCTTTACTGTCAACACCTTTTGAAGGATGACATGACAGAGAAGGAAGGAAAACTAAAAATAATGCTTTCTTCTGGGGGAGAATGAATAGCAAATATTCACTTCTAAAAACAAACATTATAACAATGTCATACATATCTCAGATTTATAGTATCTCAAGAGTAGAAAACATTCTGATGGTTTGGGATTTGTTAGTCTGAAATATCCCAGTCATACATACAAGGAAATGTTAGAAACATCTATTATTTCCAGAAAGGAAAGGATTGTATTTCTTTTTATGAAAATGATGGTAATCACAAAAATTATCAAGAAAATATAATAGACATTACATGTCTACTAGTAGAATAGACATTATAATAGACATTACATTTAGAATCAGTGTGGTAATAATCTGCTTCTTTGCTGACTGGATGTGGCTTGGCATGAATGTGTTGTGGGCTGCATGGAAAAACTTAGCTGTAGTGCCAGGTCTTTGCTGGTTTGTTTTTATTTCACTGTTGATATATATCATTTTTACCTTTGGGTGGTTTGCCACCCAGAGTTTGGTTTGAGATGGGCAGCCATATAAACGTTTTAAATAAAAAATAAGTAAACGTGAGAAAGTTAAATGTAATATCCTGCAGTAAATTAAAATGTTGCATCAAGAGCAGTCTATCGACATACCGCTTGTGACATGGGAGAGCTAGGAACCTTACCAGTTGAATTTCTAGAATATATAAAGACAGATGATTAAACATCTGGACAACCAAAACAGAAGAATATTGGGGAAAAAAGAAGTCATGAGCTAGCCACTTCCATGAATGAATAAACTGTTGTCAGTTTTTGACCAAAGGTACGTAAATATTTTTGACAATATACAGATTGAAAACTGCTCTTCTGTTTAATAACTAATTGTATTCATTTTAATTACAAGGCTCTTGGAAAGGTCTTATTGTGGCTATAAGATTAAAATTATTTAATTAATAATAATCATAATATATAAATATATATTAATAATTTGTATGAAATAATATATATTTCATTCAGTTTGAAATTAACCTGGCATGTGTGCTTATTATTTTAAAAGAAGAAGAACCGCACTCAAGGTCCCTGATTGTATGTGGTCCTTGGAAGTTTTTTACATTCACTTAATCCAGGGTTCCTCAACACTGACAACTTTAGGGGAGTTGAAGTCCATCCGTCTTAAAGTTGCCAAAGTTGAGGAACCCTGACTTAATTACTTTTGGGAATCTAGTCTTCCACACGCTATCCAAAGACCAAGTGTGGACCTTGTCTGGAAAAAAATGAGGATCAACAGATTATAGATTGCAAGGGCTGCTCTATCATTTTACCCACACATTCATCTGAAACCATTGTTGCAGTTGATACAACTCATGTTATTTTGATGCTGCTAAGCATCTAGGGCTGAGAGAGTATGACTGGTCCAAGGTCACCCAGCTGGCTTTGTGCCTAAGGCAGGACTAGAACTCATGGTCTCCCGGTTTCTAGCCTGGTGCCATCCTAAGGCAGGACTAGAACTCATGGTCTCCCGGTTTCTAGCCTGGTGCCATCCTAAGGCAGGACTAGAACTCATGGTCTCCCGGTTTCTAGCCTGGTGCCATCCTAAGGCAGGACTAGAACTCATGGTCTCCCGGTTTCTAGCCTGGTGCCATCCTAAGGCAGGACTAGAACTCATGGTCTCCCGGTTTCTAGCCTGGTGCCATAACCACTACACAAAATTGGCTTTCTAAGCCAACCATTAAGTTCTCTGAAATTCTTATATCTTATTATCTAACTATATCACAAGATAAACAACCAAGTTCCAATTGTGAATAGGTGATGAGAGCTTTTAAACTAGACTCGTGCAATTATTGTTAAGTAGATTTCAGCTTCTCAGAGGAGGAGGTTAATTGGATGGATTCATAATCACATGCTCACATGCAGAAGATACATTTTGGAAAGAGCCCTCATCACAAATGCTACCGTGATTGAAAATTGCACTCTAATTTCTGTTTATATAAACTGATAATCATTGGCTGAAGCTTCAGTCTCTTTAGATACAGAAATATAATATTTCATTTTTATTTGTGTTTCTTTTCTGCAGCTTGAATAGAACACATCTGATACTGAGTACATGTCTTCTTATTCTACTTTCAGTCTGAAGGTACTGTGCAAAAGAAGGAAAGGAAAGGAAAGGAAAGGAAAGGAAAGGAAAGGAAAGGAAAGGAAAGGAAAGGAAAGGAAAGGAAAGGAGAGGAGAATAAGCATCGCATGTTTAGTTAAATATCTATCCGCACTTGATTTTTTTCCATAAATAATTGATGAGTTAAACTAATTAATATTGTGCTCAAAATGCAATAGTAGTTCACATGCTGAGGTTTCTTCTGCTGCACTGACTGCCATTTAGAAAAAAAAAAAGTTAATTCACAGATTAATTTTGTTTCAGAAGAAATTGGCTTTTGCAGAAGCTCACATTCATTTGAACTGTGTACCAATGGTCCAGAAACTAGCAGGAGGAATGGTGGAACTTGGTGCTGTACATTTTTGTTATTTTAAAAGAATTGAGGCTACGAGGCTGAAAGACACCCATTCCATTATTCCTGATCAGTCCGTAATCGGAAGAAGTCATAACTTCCTACTCAACCTCCTGATCGGAAGAGTATTTAGATATTTAGAATAATGGATTCGTTCATATGTTTAATTTTCCATTCCTGTTTTTAAGTAAACTGAATTAAATCTTACCATTTGACAAGACATATTAAACTACTTAATTTTATTTGGTACATTAAACAGATATGCTGCTTCTGGATTTTTAATTAAAAAAAAATCTTAAACTTTTCCCTTCCCCTCTTTGTCTTTTTGCACATTCACTAGTATTGAATATGTACTTATGAATATTTTTTTGTGAACTAAAATCTCTTCAACTCAACACGCCAAGATCATTTCCCATTGAATGTTGAGCTAGTGGGAAAAGACAAACAAAGAGAAAAGATAAATGTGGGGACCAACATTTCCTAGGTTGCTTCAATTGCCTGATATTCTTCAAGTAAATAAAATAGCATGAAAAGCTCCCAGCATTCTTTTATCTTTTAGCATAACCAAAGAAGAAAGTACTCACAGTGGTGTACTGTAAGTGAAAAGTCTGGGTTATAGAGACAGGAACAGATTTCCTTCTTAATGATTAGAATCTGTTTTAAGTCTCCAGGCATTTTGCAGCTTGAAGCAAAGTAGCAAATGACTTCTCACATCCTCTTCAAATGCTTTTGGCACTGGAAGCAGAAAGGACCACAATGGCCACCTCCCTGACAGTAAAATCTTTTTCCAGAATCATTAAACTGCCCCATCTTATTAAAAAAACAAGACCAGACAGATGCAATTTTCTGTATGTAAAAATCTTGTTGTCTGATAGAAATTTCAACTTAACTTACTGTATAACCAATTCTGGGGTAGTGGCTCTTAAAATGAGGATGTAACTTCTGAATTAAGTAGAAAAATATGTATTATTATGCTAATACATCATATTACAGCTTATTCTGGCCTAGAAACCAGGACACTGTTGAGTTCTAGTCCTGCCTTAGGCATGAAAGCCGGCTGGGTGACTCTGGGGCAATCTCTCTCTCTCAGCCCAGCTCACCTCACAGGGTTGTTGTTGTGGGGAAAATAGGAGGAGGTAAGAGTATTAGATATGTTTGTCATCCTGCATAAAAAGGGAGGATATAATAATAAATATACTGCTTAATGTAATTAGGCATATCATACTTTCTAATTTGCTTTGTTTTACATTTGGATGGGTTCATTACAATATTTCAATAATAAGTTATGAAATAACTCTCACTTTGCTCTTCATTTCAGCAGGGTTTAATCCTTCTGATTACCTGTTTAAAATGAATGGTTAGGGTTGCTATACAAAATAAAGTCCAGCACTTCTGCATCCTCTCTGCCTCATATACTGTACTTGGGGACTTACAATTTATTTACAGGAAATTCACTGCCAGATGCAAGTACTGTAAGTAACTGAGTGTCAAACACACAATGTTTGCCTTATATTTGTGATAAACATAACCCCAAGTTCTCCCACTGCTCATGCCCTATTTGTCCTTCACTCACATAGGAAAACAATGAGAGTTGCTACCATAATATTCCAAATTCCATAATGTTGTTTCCGTAGGCAGGAGGGATACCTTTATATAGAAAGGAAACAGGTCCGTGTGTTTCTTCTTTATACGCATAACTCAGATGGTACGTGATGGCATAAACAGCTGGGATGGGACCCATGGCTACAGAAATCATACATCCTGTATTATAAAGGACAGTCCTTTATTTCATAAAACAGTCCTTTAGATTTATTGTATTCAATTATTTAATTTCTCGGTTTTGTTCTTGAATTTTCCTTTGCAAAGCAAAGTTATAAACATTATTATTATTATTATTTTTAAATCCTTAGGAACCTCTCAGATTTGCCCCTTTTTCAAGTTTCTCTTTTACTGTCTCCAAGAAAATATAGTCACCGTATGCATGGCCCAAGATCTTTCTGAAATATAATTTTTAATCTTCCTTTCCATTAATGTAAAATGAGTAGCCTTTTTTAAAAAAAAAATGTTGGAGGTATATTTCTTCAGGGATAATTGATTTTGGGCCATATGCCAGTTGTGTAACAGGATGAAAAAGGTGATGGCTGAAGCCAGAATGAAAAGTGGATGGGTTCACCAACTCTGGCATATAGTCACAGGGCAATAGCATCTATTATCCAAACGAATGGCCTCTTTGCTGCCCTATTTGTTCTTTTACTTATTTTTTAAACTAAATAAAACAGTTTTCCCCATTTCCTTTTAATAAGATAGAATTACACATTTGGTTACTAGTGTAATTCCACCCCCCCCCCAATTAAATTTTCACATACTCCATAAGCAGGCAATCAGAATTTTGATGTGAGTGCCTTCTTGCCTCTTCAGCTCAGGAAGCTCATTAAACAAATGGGAAACTTAATTTCAGAAGCTGATATTGCTCTGCTTTTCTGATAAGAAAACTTGAGCCTTATAGTAATTTGTGACTTAGAAAATGTGAGAAGTTACAGTGCATTCCAAAAGTATTCAGACCCCCTTCACTTTTTTCAATGTTGTTATGTTGCAGCCTGATACTACAA